TGTTTGTAAATATAATAAGGTGATCCACCAATCCTAAAGCAGCAGATCAATGAAAGCACAATGAGCTCAAAGAAAGAACTACTACCGCAAAACCAGGAAAAAAAAATCTGATTTATGCTAAGATATAAACAAACCGATTCTGAGCTTTTCAAATAAGCAAAAGCCTACATCAATCACACAATTAGTGTAGACAGCGTAAAGTGGCCATTACAAACACAACCAAACAATCACTGTGAATAAAAATCTATTTCAATGCTGTTTAAAAGACATTAGCAAACACAGTTCTCAATTACAGCAGCTCATAATAACATGGCTTTCCTGCTGGTATAGGATCATTCAGCCAAAGAGCCTCGTAAAGCATTAGCGTGGAGTTGATGTGGCGAGGGCTAATAAACCGCTGCCATGCTAATTAATGGAATCGTTCGCACGCATGTATAATCATGATGAAGAGATGTAATATTTACTATAGTTATATTACAGTGTGTCTGAATACTGTCATAACACAGAAGATCAATAAATCGTTATCATTGTGGTCTACACTGCGGCTCTTGTAAAATGATCATGTCGTGCTTGATAGAAATGAGTCACATGCTAATGTGTGCAATTCATTTCATTATTATTTTATGAAATATACAAGGCTTTTTGTTGTCTTGAATGATAAACGCAATGTTACATAGTTTCAAAGTCTGCTTTCGAACACAAAATTTCACGTTTTGTACAATGTTCCCGCTGATATCTTTCATACATTTCAAGTATAATGCATATAATTTCTTATAATGCTTTCAGTTGGTGCTCTTTAGATTCCTATGTACTGAACGGCATCACTGTATGGAAAAGAGGAGGATGGACATTTTTCAAAACACCTTTTTTTTTGTTCTACAGAAGAAGAAAAGAGCCACACTAATTTAAAATTGATGAAAATTTGTATACACTTAAAAATGTAGATTTTACTCAGCAACACATTATACATTAATTCTCTGTGGCTGTTTGTTCAATTAAAATATTAATTTTTTTTTTTTTACACAAAAGGAAACATTATAAAATGAAAAAAATGCTATGTGTTGCCCAATCTCAGAAGAAAAAATTACTACAGTACGTATTGTCAGAAAAGTGGCTAATTTGGACAAATTCGTATGATTTCCTTCGTATATAAACTTAGGATTTGTTAAAGAAGGTGTGCCCCTTAACCTATCCCCCCTCCCCCTCATTTACAGATGAGCAAAACATACTAAGAAGTACAATATGAATGAGAAACTAGAAATGAATACGAACTAGCCACTAAGTCACACTAAGTCATGAATTGCCATGAGACTGAGTTGGTTGTTCGAGGTCATAAATGACAAAAATGTTGAACAAAAGTTAAACTGAATGTTTTAATCACAACAAAGTGATTACTTGAGCAGTTTAACACATTATTATCATGTTAACGCATTAATTAAAGCCGACACATTATCATTTTAAAACTCCATTGCTCACTGGCTCTGTATACACAGACAGACAACCAATGGTCACACGAGTGTTGTGATAATAATAATAATAATAATAATAATAATAATAATAATTAGTAATTTCTTACATTTTATTACCGGTTTCCTAGACACTCAAAGCACTTGACATTTTTATTTTTAATTTTTTTGCAGGGGGGATGGAATGTCCTCATCCACCACTTGTATGCAGCATTCACTTGGATGACGCGATGGCAGCCAATTTGTACCAGACCGCACACCACACGCAAGCTAATTGGTGGAAAGGAGACAGAGTGATGAAGCTAATTATAATAAGGGGACGGTTAGGAGACCATAAAGGAAAGAGGCCATTGGCCAAATTTGGCCAGGCTGCTGAGGTTAAACCCCTACTCTTTTTTTAAAGGACATCCTGGGATTTTGAATGACCACAGAAGGTCAGGACCTCAGTTAAACGTCTCATCCCAAAGAAGGCACTCACTGAGCAGTATAGAATCCCCAAACAGACCGAACGTTAGTCACAAATCTAAATTATGTTTTGAAATATAGTACAATAGAACAGTTATTATTATATATTGAACATGTACAACATTTCACAGTGTCACACTGTACCTTTGGATCTTTTAAACACAGACAACAGAAATGATTATGATCAGGTAAAGACATTTTAAAAATACCCAAATCTACAATTGTACACTATGGCACTAATGATTGTTTACTCTTCACCAACGACTAACTGTCCTCAGACAGTAAGCAGAACTAAAGCCCATGTCTCCACCAGGAACAAGAGCATCACTGATGTGATATGTGAAGCGCCACACAACAAAACCTCCTTTTCTCCTCTGCCAGAACCACAGAGACTTCTGGAAGGACAGCGCTGAGGACTTGTGACTAGATTTACTGACACACTTTTCCTCTGAGCGTCAAGCTAATCTGGGTTTAGGCGTGATTACGTAAGCCATCAGTTTTTCCCATGTCTCTGGGCAATAGAAGCGCAGCTAAAAAACCGCGTGTGGTGATTTGGAGTCCTCTTTGTTCGGGAGCAGAGACTTGGACACAGATTTTAGTATCACCAGTTTCAGCTGCTGCAATCACACATGGCCAGCTGTGACATGCCCATATTTTCACAGTCTCTCAGCTTTGGAAAAAGAAAATCACTGAAATGTGCAGCAACTGTATCTTTCGTGAGTTTGAAATCATTTCTTTCTACGACACCACTGGATATTAAGACATCCTCATTGGAATATGGTACAGCAAACGCATCCTGCTTTTTTACACTAACGTACTTGTATAGTTTGCATGAGGGCTGGATGACTGATCAAATGTGATTTTCATGCACATTTTGTCAGTAAAGCTGGTTCTGTACTAAGTAGTAAATCTCCAGAATGTGCTTTCGGATGAAGCAGTGTTTACTACACACAAGTGTTAGTTCACTGACAAGTGATGCAAAATCATGGTCACAATCTATTTAATCACACAAAATTCTGCAATAATAACAGCTGTTTTAATTATTCATTCTATTATTTTATACTTTATTACAGGGGTTGTCAACCTTTTTACTTCAGGCCCACTTCTCTGACATTTTCTCAAAAATGTTTCTATGGAATAGTCATTTAAACCTTTTTTTATTAAAACACACACAAACACACACACACACACACACACACACACACACACACACACACACACACACACACACACACACACACACGCAACCTTATACAACACACAACTTATTAAAAACATCCTATAATGTAAATACGTTGTCATTTAATAAGAATACGTAAATAACTCAATTTTGAAAAAAATGTCAGATAGAACCTTACAATACTAATGTGACGATATATAAAGAACCACAGGTCAACATTGAGATTGCAAAAGACCAGCTTCTACTTTAAGACTGACTGAATATCTACAATTAAATATCTACTAATCCAAAAATAGACAAATGTAATCACAAAAAAAAACACCCTAAATCTGTTGAACCATGTCAATCTGATGGCGGTTGAGCTTGCAGCTGGATATTATTAGGAGATCGTTGACAGAAGCTCTGCCAGAGCGGGTCTGAATCTCATGTGCAAGTTAATCTTTACATTCTATGGCAGAAACACAATTAAGCCTAGCTAGACCCTCCTGTATGGGCATTATAAAACACTCACAGGACACTCATTTTGACAACTATGTGGATATATTAAATAGTTTTAACAAAAATACACAAAGAGGGACTTTCACTTTCACTTCACATAGTTTGTGAATGAACAGACATAATAGTTACAGACGTGATCATGAGTTTGAAGTAATTGATCAGAGAACAGAATAAAGTGCATTACTTCGATCATTTTAATATAGCATATTAATAATGAAATCCAACAGTTATAGTATAATATTGAGAGTTAATTTTAAGCTATCTCACGGCCCACCTGCAGGATTGCTGAGGTTCACTAGTTCAGAATCCCAGCTTTATTATCAAGAAAACTCTAATAAAACCAACTTCATTCATTCTTACAGTATGTTGACATAGCTCTGAGTTTATTAGTCATGTTGAATCAAGGAAAGCTGTTAAATCAAAGAAAGAAGTTAAGTCTTATTGCATGTTTCTTATTGCACCAGATGCACAATTAATCATACAAGCTACTTATGTAAAAACGTAGTTTTTTGCTGATACCATTAACTGATAACTCTTTACTTGTGGAAGCATAATAGGAATTCTGAACATAAACATCCTTAATAGGAATTTCTGTAAGCCTCATTACAAGAAGAAAAGGTACACAAATAAAGTAGCTTACAGAAAAACCATATGAGCTTCTCATTGAACCCATAATATTGGTTTAAGGTTAGTGTGTTGTTCAGGATTACATACCAGCAAAGCAATACTGAGATTGAATTGTTACAGAAATGACATTTATACATCAATATAATATGTAATAAATCTTAAAAACTATGCTGATTTAAATAGCTATAAACAGACATGTTCTGTATACGCATTAATCCCATTATAACTGCTCCTGCCAAAGTGTGCATGTGCTGGTGGGATGTAAACAGATGCTGTTTGTTATTACGACTACTAAATGTGGAGGAGTTCAGATCAACAATGTGTTGCTAACTTGCTACCATTTATTATTTTATCATATTTGCAAGAGTTAAGATGAACCCTTGGTATGAACGTCCAGTTACATACTTAAATACATAAGTGACTGAATTCAGCTACAGCTTTAACATATTATCAGAGGGGCATTTGATTGGTCAACAGATTTGATAATATGTCTATATATGAATATTTATGCAGAAGGGCATACTGATATCATCAATATTTAAATGCTACATGCAGTACCTCTTCTACACGTGAATCCAATTTTTAATTTATTTTGGAGTGCACCAGCTTATAGTTAAGACTAACATATTGATACCAGCACTCGCCAAAAATTAACATTAATATCAACGAAATTAAATGTTTAAAAGCTTTCTTTTTGCTTAATCATGGCTGAAATAGGAATATATGACAACACTGGGAGTCTATAAGTTTCTTTGTTAAGGTACCTGTGGCAGTGCGGAGCTGAGCTGGCGCTGCAGGGAGTCCCGGTCATAGATGACGTCCTGCAGGTGCTGCTGTGCGAGGGCCAGGCTCTCCTGCGTCTCTCTCAGGGTGTCCAGCAGACGGTCTCTCTCGTCCAGCATGTTGACCATCAGCTGCTCGAAGTGTGAGTCCGGGTCAGAGGCGCTGCTCTGAGAGCCACGCTGACTCAACGCCGTGTCCTCACTGATCGTTGGCATCACCTCACACATCATCTTCACCTGCTGGAAGACAAGCAGTGCTTAGAGACCCTTCGGTCAAGTTGCTCTCAAACAAAAACTATTTGTTTAATAATCATTTTTTTCTTAAAATTCTACATGTACTGATGATTTTTTAAAAATATTTTTATTTAATTTGTTTAATATATTTGTTTATTATTAATTAATATTTTATGTGTGCAATATTTATTAATCCATTATTCTTAATCTGTTATTTATTTTATTGTAGTGGTGGCAGTCAGCAAAAATAAGCTTTTCTTTCTTAAAGATTTTGTCTGGTTTCTAGTCCAAAAATCTAAAAATTCTTAAATTAAGAACCACTTTCTAGACAAGTTAAAAAATATTGTCTTGTTTTCAGAAATAATCAGTTACAATTAGGTGAGTTTTTCCTTAAAACAAACTAAATATGCCAAAGAAAGTATATTTCACACATTAAAACATTATTTTGCTTACCACATTGACATTATTTTGCTTGTTTTAAGAAGAAACTATTTTGTTACATATTATTTGTCACAGAACAACAATTATTGAAATGACTATATTACTATAACTATATTAATGATTATATAACAGACAAAAACACACGGTGAATACTTGTTTTTAATATAAGCACATTTCAATACACATTTAAATTATTCAGATAATAATAAAAAGTTGAGATTTACACTAAAATATAAATGTATCCATGTTTTTATAAATGTATGTACTTAACTATTTTCTTTATAACTGTTTTCCAAATCTATAATAAAATTACTGCAAATATTGAATCTGCAAATCACAAATTAAAAAATACTATAAAATTATATATCCATTTAAAGGCATAGTTCGCACAAAAATGAAAATTTCCTCATCATTTACATACACTTGACTTGTTCAAAACCTATTTGAGTTTCTCTCTTCAATTTAACATACAATAAAATATTTTGAAAAAGGCTGGTAGCTGGTACCCACTGACTTCCCTAGTCATTTTCAAGTATGGTGGGTGGCAGCAAACAGCGTTTTTCAAAAGATCTTCGCTTGTATTCAAGAGAATGTTTAAAATCAAAGGAGGAAAAATAAATAAGGGGATTTTTATTTTTGGATGAATTATCCCTTTAAGATGTACATACACTACTGTTTAAAAGCTTGAGGTCAATAAGAATACATATATAAATATATTTTTTCAAAGGAAATTAATAACTTTGTTTAGTTAAAATCCATTAAACAGATGAAAAATGACTGTGCTATATGACACTCAATATATTACATATTACTACATTTCTATTTTAAATAAAAATAATAAATAAAAATCATATTTTCACTAAAACATTAGGCAGCATGGCTGTTTTTAATATTATAAGTAATATTTAATATTTTTCTTGAACACAAATTAGCATATTTCACATGAAAAGATAATACATATACAAATACTGTACATATATACAGTTTTTCCTCTCTGACTTCTGTGGTGTGGAAAATAGAAAATACACATGGATAACAGACTCACATCATAATAAATGGAATTAGCTATAAAAAAAGGACAGATTGTTCATAATTTTGAGTTAATACATTTAAAGTAGTGTTGCACATCAAAGTTGAAGGAATAGTGACACTGTATTACTGTCCACCAGTAGTTCTGATAATAATAATAATAATAATAATAATAATAATAATAATAATAATAATAATAATAATAATAACTTGAGAACTAAATAAAAATATTTCAGGAATCTTACATTTTTCTTAAGAGAAATTAATCAGTGTACATTTCTAAATTTACATTAATTACAGTTTTGTTTTGTTTTTTATTGCTAAAATCTATGTTAACCATTGCAATGGATTTCAGGAATTTTAAGACAGAAAAATAGAAGCGGGATGAATTAAGCCTGGACAAATAAAATATTTCAGTGTGTTTGGAACACAAAAAAACTGATTTCACACTAAAGTTACCAGAGCAGAGATGAAGATCATGTAATGCAACTCAAAAGAATAAACAAACATCACAAGCTTTGAACAATTACTGTTCAAATACACATTCACACAACTAGTGAACAAATACGTTTGATACTATATATATCAGTGTTTCTCAACCACGTTCCTGGAGGACCACCAACACTGCATGCTTTGGATGTCTCCTTTGTTTGTCACATCCATTACAGGGCTGCGTCCGAAATCGCATACTTCCATACCATATAATACGATGAAAACAGTATGCGAGGCAAGTAGTACATCCGAATTCATAGTATGCAAGAAATATACTAGAAGTACCGGGATGATCTACTACATCTAGACAGATTTTGAAGTGCACATCCGATGGACGCTACGCTATCTCATGATAAACCGCAAGAAAATTCATGAATGGGAGTAAAGTGTCGCAACTGAAGCAGGTAGGTCACATGATTATGACAAAATGGCGGCTGTAGTACGTTCGAATTCTGTTCATATTACTCGCATACATACTGTACAGAACTAACGGTCGAGTCGTAGATTCGAATGTAAATGCAGTAGATTTTGAGACACAGCCCAGGTCTTTCAGTCTCTGCTAATGAGCTGATGATTTGAATCAGGTGTGTTTGGTTAAGGAGCTAGGACATGTGCAGTGCTGGTGGTCCACCAGGAACGTGGCTGAGAAACACTGTTATATATAATCATCCTTTGTTTTCTGTCCTCCTTTTAGCGTCCATCTGTAAAAGCATTGAACAGCTCCGAGCGTCAGTAAGCAGACATCATGTTGACTGTATGTACATAGCGGTGATGTGCGTCTGCTCCTATTAGACTCACAGCTGTCAGGATTGTGTAGCTGTACGGAAGACGAGCATTAAAAACACAAGGGCCCGCAAAGTTCCACGCCTGAACTGAGGTGATCATACAACACAGGACAAGCACTGAAGGAATCTGCTGGCAGGAACGAGCCGTGTTTGTGTGTGTTTACAACGGAGTGAGTGGAGAAAGAACAGATGATCAGAGAAAGAACAGGCCGTGCGTGTACAGTGTGTGTGCGTGTACAGTAAGTGTATCAGTGGAGTTTTGAGACCTGGCCATTTATCATCTCTATACAGTGCTCTCCAATAAGCCCTCCACTATTTGAGTTTCTTTCTTCTGTTCAACACAAAAGACGAAAAATGCAAGTACCATTGGCTTCCATAGTATTTTTTTTCCACTATGGAAGTCAATGGGTACCATCAATTAGCATTCTTCAAAATATCCTCTTTTGTGTTTAACAAAAGAAAGAGGGAACGAGAGTAAATGATGAGTTATTTATAATTTTTTGGGGAAAGTATTCATTTAACAAAAAAACAAACAAATAAATACATATAAAAACTCAGTCCCACTTTATATTAACTGGCCTTAAGTACTAGGTACTTCCGTCAAAATATAAATAAAATGTACTTAATGTGATCGTAGCATATTGCAGAAACACTTCTGGGGCTCTTGAGGTGAATTATGGGTAAGACTCACTCAGGCTGTATCTGAAGTTGCCCCTTATACCCTTTAAATAGTGCACCATTTGAGAGAGCTGCCATTTGTATTGGTGTCCGAAATCATTGTAAATATTCTGAAAAGTACTCAACCAATCCCAGAATGCGCTAATAATGCAATAATGAGCAAACATCCCAGCTAGTAAACACCAACAATTTGCTTAATTCATGCAGCCACCATTTTAAAAACGTGAAAGCGAGGAAATAGGTATTTAACAGGTTTAATATATTGAAAGAATCAGTTAATTAACTTGAGTTTGATAAATCGCATCTTAACCATGTAATGGGGAAAGATAATGTTAGCTAACTATTGCTATTTCCCTTAACTTAGCTGAAAACGAAGTCTGAAATCCCATTTTATATTCACTTTCCATTCAGATCGGACCGTCAGGTCACTTGGAAGGCGGAGGAGTTATAAATTTGTGTCGCTTTCTCTTCACTGATTAGATATACAGCCAGGTGCACAACATTCCTGTGTGACACAGGTGATACTTCCGTGTTTTTTTCCCACCGCAGACTCTATTACGCTTTTAAAATGGCGGCCGCGTGAAATCAGTCTATATACTGTGAGAGTTCGCTTGCCGAATGAAGACTGACCATAAGATGCCATTTAAAATCGAATCCTATTGGTCCTATCCTCACTCATTTTCCTGCACTTCAAGTGGACTATATTAGTGGACTAATGCCTCATTCAGACTAGCAGCTACTTTGTACCTGCCTGTTGCTCTTGGTGGTGACTTGCACGATACAGCACAAATACAACCGGCCTCTAAGCGAGCTGAGGATCAAGTGAGCTTTACTGGTGTTCCTATTAGTTGTCGCTCTAGAAAGTCGCTCTTTATTTGCATAAAGTTAAAGAATTCTCAACTTTGTTGCATTGCTCGGCACGCCCACCTGGTCGCTAATGGTCGCTGTCACTCGCAAAGATGGAGGTCGCTCACTTTCTGTTGAAATGAAAGGCCACATGTCGCTTTCCGCTAGGAGACGCTCGTAGTGTGAATGAGACTTAATGTAGGGAACCGTGAATGAGGGTATAGGGGGCAATTTCAGATACAACATCAGCCATTCACCACAATGGACAAAGAACATTGTGGTTATTTGCAAAAAAAAGAATGTTGAGCTTCACAAAAAATAAAGAGGCTGTAGGAAAATAACACTACAAATGTCAGGAATCAAGAAAATATTTTAAAAATCCAGTTAATTGAAAGTGTTATGATTCAGACTAAAAAAGGATCTGTGCCACTCTTTCGTCTCAAAGAACCCCCAAGTATCACAGCAGAAGTTAGTTGGGTCTTGGGGTCAGAAAGTCTACAAAACTACAATTGGACCTTACTAAAATCAACAAAGTGTTTGGAAGGGTTAAGAAAAAAAGCCTCTACTTCTATTCAACAAGAAACTAAAATGCCCAGTTTGTCAAGCACTGCAGGCACTTTAAATGGGATCATGTCCTATGGTCAGATGAAACCAAAATAAATTTTAAGAGAAGTCACAAAGAAATTTCCATCAGGAAATGTACATCATGCCCATAGTTAGATGGTAAGGCTTATT